ACATTTGAGAATATATTTTCAATTAGAGTTGATGATCTAGTTGTAATTCTGGTAGGTTTGTCAATTAGAGGATAGAATGAAAGTGAGTACATTGTATTTAGGAAGTCATTCGTAGGGCCATGGGTGGAGTGTTTTATAAGGTCTAAGTTAAAATCGCCATAGACATATGATTGTTTTTTTTCTTTTGAGACTGCATCAATGCATTTGGAAATATTATTTAAGAAGGGATGAATGGAACTATTTGGTGGCCGGTAGACAATGCCAACGATGCTAGATTTTTGTTGGGTACCAATTTCTACAAAAAGTGATTCATAATTTGGATTCAATGGAAGGTTCAAATCATTCCTAACATTAAAATTTAATTCATTTGAGATGTAGAGTGCAACTCCTCCACGTTTTCTGTCTTTTCGATCGGATTGCACAATTGAATACCCTTCTATATTAGTAAGAGGAGGTGGGGAGTTGTCGTTATCAAACCAGGTCTCGCTAAAGCCTATGATAGAAAATTTATGGTTAAGGGTGAGGAGGTAATTAGTAATAGAGTTAAAATTTTTGGTGAGGCTTCGAGAGTTCATGTGTATAATGCTCAGGCCTGTAGTTTTGTTGGAGGAAAGTTTGTTATTAAATGTATCACTAAGGTAATATTCACAGTTATCGTTACTATTGGTTACTTCATTATCTGCATGTAAGTCATGGGTCTTGCTATTTATATTGAAGGGATTGATTATTAAATTTTGGAGTTGGTGAAAATCTATAATTTGGTCAATGTTAAGTTGTTTAAGTTCATGTTTGAATTCTTCTTCATTAGTTATATGATTAAATGGAAGTATTTCACCAAAACATGTGCTACAGTATATGTAGTCTATATTTTGATCATGGGCACTTGAAATGGCGCAGGTTGTATGGGCTGGCTTGTTGCATATAGCACATTTAATGTGAAGGTCTACCTTTATACACTTATTACAGTACATACAAAACATTTAACATAAAATATAATTATTGATATAAAAATATAGAAGAGTAATAATAGTTCCTATTATTTAGAAAAAATATAACAAATAATCGCATAATGAATTCTTAAATTGCATGATTAAATAGATTAAACAGATGGAATATTGGTATTACAACATTTTAAAAGAATGATCATTGACAGATAAGCATAAAATATTTGATTATTTATTGTACATAATTGCACAAAAAATAATAATAATAATAAGAAAAAATAAATAAATAAAAAGAAAAAGCCTGGTCTAGCCAATCAATACGAAATAGAAAAACAATCATATTGATAACAATAATTTACAATAAAAACAAATATCGATAGGATTATTACAGAGATGGTACTGCTTATATATTGCAATTAACTAAAATAATTAATGATAATTATCAAGTTACTAATGTAATAATTTTCCAAATATGATTCCAATATGCTGCAGTACAAATAGCGAAGTGTAACAGTAGTTTGCAATGATTAATTTTCGGTATTATCGCACAATTTAATCTTATTAGTTAGATACCATTATCTAATACTTTCAATTATTAAAACTTCTTAATAACTATTAGTAATATTAGTAAAAATAGGTGTACTGTACAAATTAGCATAGGAGAATAATAATAATAATAATAATAATAATAATAATAATAATAATAATTATACATAAATATCATTGATAATGATAGTAGTTATAATTATAATAGTAATAATAATAATCATAATAATAATTCAATACAGTAGTAATATTGATAACCACTGTACTCTTCAAGGCACCGTTTTAATTATTATAAAATTATGAATTATAGGTAGCATAGGCTATATAATTAGTGTAATGTAACAGAAACATTTTGTGATGACCAGTATTTCGGTGATATCGATATTTTTAGCTTATTAATGATCAGATACATGTATTTAGTAATTAGAGTAATTAATACTTCATAATAAAAATAATAATAATAATAACAATAATAAAATATATGGTGAAATAATAATATTAACCATTATTATTACCATTACCATCACCACTACTACCATTATGATAATAATAATAATAATAACAACAATAATAACAACAACAACAACAACAATAACAATAACAATAATAATAATTGTAATAATAGTAGCAATAATATCATTGATAATGATAATAGTAATTATAAATATGAAAATAATAATAGTTATAATAATAATATGCAATACAGTAGTAATAAAGGTAATACTCATCAAGGCACCAGTCAAATGATTATAAAATTATGATTATAATACGCATAATACTAATGATATTAATAGTAACAACAATAACAATAATAATGATATAATAATAATGATATCAAATAATAATAACTAAAAATAATAATAAAATAACTAATAATAATAATAATGATGGTAACAACAACAATAATAATAATAATAGTAATAGTCATAATACCAATGATAACAATAATAATAGTAATAACAATTTAAAAAAAAGTAATAATAAACTGAAATATAATCATTAATATATCTATATAAATTATTTAAAATTAAACTTATGGTAATTATGCAACTGTATAATCTGTAGAATGTAGCGAATAGTAATAAAGCAAGTAATAACTCATAATAACAGTAATAGTAATAATGGTAATAAACTGTAATAATAATCGTCAAGTTATCAGTAAAACAATGGTTAAGTTTATGTGATTATAAATGTAGCAGTATAGTTAGTGTAGTTTAACGATATCAATGATATCCATAAATAGTAAGTTCTGCGTCAGATAAAAAGTAATAGGAGAAGCGTTCAGTTAAACATCGGTTGTTAAAACATGGCCGCCATTATAGGCTAAATTTTTATGTATATGGATTGGAAATTATCGCCTATCGTACCTGTATAACATGCAGTATAAAGATTTGTTTAAATTAAGATAATTGAATCCTACAACTAAGTAGGACTAGCATAAAAGTACGAACAATAGTATTAACTTAACTATTTTTATTTGTGATGAACTTTATGAATAGGGAGACAGTTCATATCACATACGATAATTTTATATACGAGGAAGATCCGACGTTGATCTGATTACGACCTTCTTCTTATTTGTGAGTAGGCAATTGATTCTCCCATCAATAGACCATGCGGCTTCCACTAAGGCATTTCGTGAGGCTTCATGCAAAAGTTGCATACGTTTAGGTGTCAAATTTTCAGTTATCAAATATGACGACTTTTTTAGAGATCTCTTTTTTCGAAATATTTCTGCTCTCGCGCGGTAGGTTGAAAATTTGATTATGATTGGGCGTGGTTTTATTTTCGGACTTCTGAGGGTCTGGTTCTGAAGCTTTTTTCTTCCAAGGCGATGAGTGCGATCAATGTCGCTTAACTCTACATGCTCACTTATACAGGATGTTATAATGTCTAAGGTGAGATCATCGGTATTTTCATTGGCTGATTCGGGTACCCCATGTAGCAGAAGACAATTTCTCCTGCTATACTGTTCTAGGTCGTCAAATTTGTCAACGATAGAGTGGTTTTCTTTCCTTAACGCGTCGATTTGCTCTCGTAGAGAGGCGATGTCGCCCGCTATAGATTGGTTGTCATGGGCAACACTGGCGTAAACACTCTGGGTTACACTATCAGCTATTGTTTCACTGATTGATTTAATTACGGCTTCATTTTCACATACTGATTTTACTATTTTCTCTAAAAGTTCAGGGGAGGATAATATGTGGTGGCTTATTGTTGAGGCAACAATGCTTACCAGTTCTTTATCATCTGAGAGTAAGTGATGAATATCTCGCAGAGCCGATGGGTCAGGTAGTTCTTCAGCAATAGTACCTTGAAAGGGTGGTATGCTGGGTGAACCAGCAGGTGGTGTGTCTTTGATTGAATCGCCATTACTGCTACTACTGGGCTCAGGTGTAATCTCCGTGGATTTCAAGTTTCCACGTTTCGATTTAGAGGCCGATCTAGTTGCCATGTCTTCTTTTTAGGTTGATAAGTAGGTTGTATTGATAAATACCAGTGGTTGTTAGTAAATATAGCAAATTACGAGTTTTTTCAAAGAGCGATTATTGATACATTAGCTCATGCTGATGATGACGTATGGAAAATCCTTCATTTATAGCCACTTTATTTTGTTACTAACGAGCATCCTTAGCTCCCCTAGTTTTTTGTCCGTTCTAAAACTTTCCGTCTGTGCCTCCTTAAGATCTCCTTTACTTTTGAGGAAAATAAAAACAGCAATATATATCAAATGATATTTCATCGTCCAAACCACCCTTTTATCCAACTTTTTATCTAACCTTTTATCCAACATTTTCCCCCAGTTTTTAAATATTATCCAAACCATGCCCAAGTTTTTTGTCAAATATGCTTTTTGTGTCTTGAAAAAAATCAGTTGTAAAACATATCAAAACTTTTTTTCTCAGGAGCCTGTCTTTAATCAGGGTTGTATTATATGCAAACAGTGATGTGCAGTACATGTTTAAGAATTAGTTAAGAGGTCTATTTAGTGCATTTTTATAGTATTGTATTGTATGTTAGTAGCAGTTAGCAAGGATTAACAAGCAGTCTACATTACTATTATTATTACTGTAACATCATTACAAATGGGGTAATATTTTACCAAAAACCTAGGCCTGCATAAAGGTCTGGTTATAATCCAATATGAAAATTCTGTAATTATTTAATGTATTTATTTCTATGTGATGTACACTTTAGTTAAATTGTTCTTTTGTGTGTGTGCTGTAACATGTTAATTGAACATGCTACAATTTGCAAGTAATTATACTGAAGCATCTTTAAGGAATGAATGTCTATTATTGTTATTTACTGGATACTGCTTCTGTAGTAGTACAGCTACAATCCTTCATTTATAGCCACTTTATTTTGTTACTAACGAGCATCCTTAGCTCCCCTAGTTTTTCCGTCTGTGCCTCCTTAAGATCTCCTTTACTTTTGAGGAAAATAAAAACAGCAATATATATCAATTGATGCTCTAATATTTAATTCATATATTTTTTCCATTTGCAGATAATAATGTTTATATATGGCATGTAAAACGTGAACGGCCATTAGTTGTATTACCAGGTCACACACGAACAGTCAACTGTGCATCCTGGAACCCTAAGATACCTAGTATGCTGGTCACCGTTTCTGATGACTTCACTGTCCGTGTATGGGGTCCAGATAGCAGTGAAGGTTGGTGTTTTTTATCAGTTTTGTGAGAATCTATTTTAGTTTTCTATGATTAAGCCGAAGTTATATCAGGTTTGCATGTACAAACAAGCTTGGTGTATGATTTGCTTGATTATTTTGTTTGGTACAGGTGGGTAATTTTATCCAGGCCTCAGTTTCTTACAAGTTTTTTTGATGTGGTGTTGCACACAAACCACAGGTCAAACAATGAAATATAACTTTAGCGATAAACTTATATTATAATTATAATTAATATTTGGTAACAAAAGAAAACTGGTTTACTGTATTTGCAAAGAACAGTCTTTTTTAGTATTATTTGTTGTCTGCTGCTACATTGATCCTTTCGGCACAGACAAGTGGTGCATATCCCATCACACATTAATAATACCTTGTATACAGTTGCTTGTTACAAATAGCTTAGATGGCATGCAATGATCACTGTTATTAATAACTTCAAAGTACTAATCTTTATGGTAGGAGTAGCCTATATTTAATACTATGGCATTTGTGGCCCCAAAACTGACTGATTGTAAATCTGATTCCTATTCAGATTTATTGTAGCAATCAACATAAAAAAATACATGAAATTTGTTTTCCTGTCTTGTAATACAAACAAAAACATTGATAAGATCTATTCAAAACATTTATAAAAAAGATAATGTGATTGTGAAAGATATCACAGATATATTACAAATTACATCAAAACAACATACATAAATATTCGAAAGTTATATCAAATTGACATCACAGAGTTGTTGAAACCAAATTAAGTAACATACCATATTTATTTGAATAAATGCCCTGGGCTTTTATTGTTGAGAAGGGTTTTTCAGGGGCATTTATTCAAGGGAGCATTCTTTTTTTTTTTTTTTTAATAGAATGTGTTGAGAATGATGTTGCCTCCATTAGATTTGTTTACTGGGAACTTATTCAAAAGAGGCGTTTATTCCAAATAAGGCTATAGAGATGACATTTATTCAAGGGGAGAGTTTATTCAAAGTGGGCATTTATTCGAATAAATGTGGTATACAAAATTGCAACTTAAGTACAGTACTGTCTTGTATTGTATATTAAAAACTTTAAGTTGCTCTGTTAAAATTTTGTGCTGCCTTCCTGATTTGTTCATATTTATTTCAATATGTAGAGCCATGCTTCCCAAACTATGCTTCCCAACCTAACATTGGGTCGCCCAACTTTTGCAGTGGGTCACTAAACGGTGGCGAATGCTGTAGATCGCCAAACTTTTGTGAATGCAGTGGGTCATGCAGGTTTGCAGGAAAAAAATAATTCATGGGTTCACACTTACAGTTTTTAACAGATCTGGCTACTTGCAAACAGTATTTTAGGTGAACGCTCATTAAACAATATTTTATAATATGTCCACAATATCTTCAAATTTGTTTGACAGCTATTATTTTTCTCTTGCCATTTACCACAACAATTGTGTAAATTTGAACTTCCCTCTGTTTAAAAACAAAACAAGTACAAGTATAGAAATACACTTATAGACGGATGGCCAACAGATTGAAAAACTTGCCATGCTGATTTTTGGATTTAAGTGCCAAATTAAAAAAAAAAAAATTACAAATTTAACACGTTTTTACCCCAACGTGGTATTTTTAAGCTTTTGCATCACTTGAAGATGCAATTTGAATATGTTTAGTACCATACAAAAACTATTAAAATTATCTATCCAAATTTGATTGGTGCATTTTTTGTCTGATACTTTATGACACATTATGTTACATAAATATATTATTAAATAAATACAATATATAATAACAACCTTTTCATCTGATACTTTTCAAAAATGTATTATTGAATTTAGCAAAAAATGGGGTTTTATGTAATTTTTAGGTCACAAAATTAACATAATGTTATACATCATTCGATAGATAATTTTAAAAGCTTTCTTACGATATCATCATTCAAAATGATCCTCAAGTGATTTATTGGTCAAATTTGGCACTTAAATCTAAAATTTAACGTGTCTATCTGAGCCAAAAGCTGATCATGAGGATTCATTTTGTTGCCAGCTTGTAACAAATGATGTCCAGAAAATTAAAAAAATTTGAGCACTTTCAATCCGATGGCCATCCGTCTATTACGCCTAAAACAGAAATGTTATCGGGTGACTTTAAAATTAATATTATCCAAACAAAATATTAAAAATGTAAATGGTAATACAGCTAAAATTCAAATTTAAATCTGAGAATGCAATTCCCAGTCATCTAAAGCTGCCATAATCATAAATTTTCTTACTTCTGCTCCAACCATGGTGGGTCATTTAGCTGAAGTGGTCTAAATCTCCCATCAGTGCAAGTTTTCCTCCCTGCCCCCTTTATTTTGAATTCCGTGGCACCAATGTCAATTTTGTTTGTTTGTTTTTTTATTTTATAAACATAGATCATCAAATTTTGGGCATCTTATAAAAATTGATTTCCTATCGAACTATTAGATGGGTCATGGTTAGTGTGGGAAATCACCACTTGGGTCGCGGAAAAAAAAAGTTTATGAAGCTGGGATGTAGAGGATGCATTTCATTGCTAAATATTTCTAGTTAGTTAATGTAGCCTTCTCCATTATTTCTTTGTTTGGATTTACATTTCTATTAATACTTTTACTTGCAGCCTGCGGTCTGTATATGGGAATAACAAATGGCAAGAGTTTATTAATCTAAACCTTAACTGAACAATAAAAGTCATGAATAAAGATGTGTATATTTGGAACAAATTCAGTTTACATGTTATAATTTTTTTTTCTAAAGTGAATACAATATAAACTGAGAAAATAAATTATGACAATGATTGTATTTAAGATTTAATTTCCATATATTATTATAATAATAATATGTCGCTCTTATATAGCGCTTCATGCACAATGCCTCTAATCACTTCACATTACTACTCCGGTCATTGGATCAAACACATATGGAACACGGGTAAATAGTTTCATCTGGTTTTAAATAGCAATAAATATGTATAATTCCTTTATGACCAAATGTTACTCACTGTATTTTGTTATTGACAGTTTCGCCTGGCTATCAGTCAGGCTTCGTCAGAATCTGTGAAGGGTTTTCGCCGATGCTCGTTGGTAGAGGGCCGCTCCAGCTGTCTTTAATAGTTGATCATATAGGTGTGAGAGGTGATGTGCGCCTTCATCTCTATTCATTGTAGCGTTATTTCTCCTAATACATATTGATTCTTTAATTTTCCATTTTAGCCACCCTTGTTCTTTGTGTAGGATATTGATGTTCTCCCAGTCTGGTATGTGATTTTCTTGCGTCATGTGATCTGTTATAGCCGATTTGTGCAATTGTGTAGATGAGGATTTTCTGCTGGCCCTCGTTCTTACTCCAATGTTATGTTCCTCTACATCTTTCATGTCTTCTTTTGTTATCGTTTTTAATACCCTGCCCATTTCGCCAATATAAACTTTGTCACAATTTTTTACATCCAATCTCATAGACAACCCCACATGTATTTTCTTTTTCTATGTGGTCTTTGGGATGAACTACAATATTATTGAGTAATATTTGGTTTATCATAAGGAATTATACATATTTATTACATATGGAACACATATTCAACACCAAATTAAATTATATTATTATTCCATAATACTGCCCAAGGACACAAGCGATTTGCAAAGCAGGTTTCGAATACCCGACCTCGATGTTGGGAGTCCAAGCCACAACCGATGCGCCAACCGCCTCTTACAATACAACAAATATATGTTGATGAATAAAAATTATTTTACGAATAAATGGTGCTGTTTTTTTTAAATCAAAGATTTTCCATACCTTCTCAGTGATTGTTTTTATTTCTGTTTTCCAGATAATGTATGCAGCACAGCAGTGTGATGTAGGCTCCAATTCTCAGAATTAGAAGATAGAATGAAGGGAACCATAATGTACAGTACCATGGCATGCAACATCAGGTGTATAAAGCTCTGTCCAGACTATAAAATTTTGTTTGACAAAAACATGTGAATATATATATA